AAAACCCCTATTCGTTGTGTCCAACTAAAAAAAAAAAAAAAAAAAGAAAAAAAAAAAGACAATGATAAGATTTTTCTTGCTTCACAAACATGCCCATACCAACTAAGAAAGAGAAGAAACTTTATCATCAAAGATTCTTCATTTCTTTCCTTTTAAATCATTAATTGACATGTCATTATCTACAAAACTAAATATATTATCATCACGTAGATTTAATAAATTTATTTCACTTACACTTAATAGTGTTAGAAATAAACTAACAGATAAATTAAAAATGATTAAAAAAATGTAAGGTTATTATTTTTAAACTACAAGAAAGACGAAATAAGTGAAATTATAAAGATTAAAAAATATTTAAACTTTTATTTTATTTTATATAACTTTAGGGATTAAGTTAGTATTTTAATTTTCAAAAAAACATTTATTATTATTTTTTATTTTTATCTAAATTAACACTAACAAGTAACAACGTTAATAAAATCAGACAAAATATTAGTATTTAACTTTTTTGAAAATTATATGATAGATCAATATTTTTTTTTCTTTTGTGGATTCATATAATTATGTCATGTTATTTTGAAGAGTTAATTATGTTTAAATTCTTCATTAAATAACATCATGTTAATTAATTTTATTAGTTATCGAACTAAAAATAATTTTAAAACTTGTGTTAAATAATCTATAAAATATTTATTAAACTACCAAATTTAATCGTAAGAATAAAATTGGTTTAATTTTGATACTACATTGAAATTAATCCACACCAAAATCACATATTATTATGGTTAGTTTGAATGACTTTTGTAATGAATTTATTTAACCCAATTTGCCCTCACTAGTAAAAAAAACAAATTGCGCTAGATTTATTGTTTTTAAACAGAAGGATTTAATTGTTTTGAGAGTGAGTTGAGTTGACCTACATAATTTTAAAATAAAATAAGATGACCTACAAGTTAACTATAAAATAAATAATAAAAAACAAAAAAGAGTCATTCGAGTATAATATTTATTAATCTATCAAAACATTAATGAATGACAAAAAAGTTTAAAAGAAAAATAAATACAACACGATGAATTAATTTACTCAAGCCCAAAAAAGATGGATTAAAGTGAATTTTGAAAATAGTTAAAAACTCTAACCCATCTCACCTCATTAAGTTAACCAAATAAGGCGTATTTAGAAAATTTATAAGCAGAAGTTTCACATTGCATAGTAACAAATGTAGAAAATAATAATACGGCTTATGGTTTGACTTTCAAGTTAGTTCCAAAAACTTAACCGGCTCATTGGTTAGAAATACGAAATAATTCACTTTTTATTATGAAATTATATTCATCATCTTTAACGTGACATTTTCTTTACATAAGATTTAAACCTCAAATTTTATTTAAAATAATAAATTAAAATTTAGTATTACTTAAATTAATCATTTGTTAGCGGAATGTATATGTTAATGTCAGTGCATTATTACTATGCAAAAGTAGGTCTAAAAGTTTATGAAACTAACTTTTTTAAAAGCTTATATATTTGAAGTTTTTCATTTATAAAACATTTTATTTTTTTCTTAAAAAATAGTCCAATTTATTTCTTAAAATATCTAAAATAAATTAGCCAAAATATTTTATTAGTTGGAAGGATAAAATTAAAAGGTATATTTAGTTTCACAGTTAGAATAATAAAGCTTTAATTACAGTCAAAATATATTTTATTAAAATATAAATATTTATTTATTAATAGATAAAACTGATTTTTACTTAAAATTTAAGTTTGACTAAAAGTAATAAAAAAAACAAAAAATAAATAAAATTGGACACCTATGATAGCTAGCTATTTGACACTTATAAAAGAGAGAGAGAGAAAAATTACTAGGATGATAAGTGACATAATTTGATAGAAAAAGAAAGATGAAATAATTATTGATAGGGAGTATAGAATTGTTGGGTGTCCAAATATTAGTATCGTAAAACAAATATATAAGAAATAAAACATTATTGATTTTGAAAATTAATGTGAAAATATTTTTGAAATTAATTAAAAACCCCTTTAATTTCATTTTTGTCAAACACATTTTGTTTTGAACATTGTATTTGAAAACCAAAAACTACACTCACAATCATTCCAAATGATATTAAATTAGTTAATTTTAATTTTAATATCATAATTAAAAAGCTAATCCAAAAAGACTATAAAATTAAATGATAATTATATTTAATGATAGTATTCATAAATTAATAAATAAATTATTCTACCAATGGAGATGATTTATAATGTTAGTAGTTTAATATTAATTCTTATGAAAAATGAATACATGATTCGATAATAAATTAATAATATATATAAGTAAAATTATCAATTAGTATATTTAAAAATAAGCTTTCAGTTTAATAAATCAAAATATTATTTTGATTTATTTATATTCCATATAAATAAATCAAAATAATATTTTAATTTTTTTACATATAGGAACAAAAGTAGAAACTTTTAGTTAAGTGAAAAAAAATATATAAAGTTTTGCTGTTACAAACTTATTTTAAAGAAAAAATAATTTATTTGTAAATTATACCGACATTACTTGAGGATTTGCGAGATTTTGAAAGATTGAAAATAAATCCTTGTGTTTTTAATTGTTACAATAATTACTTGAATTATTTGAAAATATGACACTAACACCTTTTTAGATATCATATTAATTCTTGAATTGTTTAAAAATATAGCATTATATTTTGTATAAAATATTATTATAAAGATTAAAAGTATAAAAACGAGTATAATGTGAGAAAATTAGAGTGATATTAATTAAAAAATAATGGTAGAAATGTTTAGTAGGGAAAAAATAATGGAAGAGGGCATTAAACCTGCAACCACCAAAGAGTCAGTGTGGCAGCTATGGCCTATGGGTGTAATTGATATTGGGATGTGGATCCCTTTCAGTGCAGATTTTGTAAAACTCAGACTGCAGTGCTGTAATGTTCATGATTCAGCCTTTCAATTTATTATTAATTCATGAAAGAAGAAAATATGAATATGATTGTAGTATTTGAGTTAGAAGTTAGAAGTTAGAAGCTCCAGCAGTAGCAGTAGGACCAACTTCTTAAGTATTTGTCAGTTAACCATCTCCATTTCTCTTTCTCCCTCACTTCACTATGCTACACACAAACATTCTATATTTAGACGTGTCATGTGCCAATATGAAATTTTAGTCAATTATTCATATCATGTGAAATGGTTAATTAATTTCTTAAAAATATATAAGTAATTAAAAAAAATTACATAATAATATATTTTAAATATATTTAAATATTTTTTTTTAATTTTTAAATATAATTAAATTTCAACTATTTTTACTTCATTTAATGATATTCTTCCTAAAATACATATTTTTTAATGCATGACTTTGTATTATTTTTTTAAAAAAAATTTATAATAAATATAATTTTAAAAAAATATTACGAGATTAGTAAAATTTAATATAGATAACAAATTTTTTTAATATATGAAATGATGTTTTTTGAGTAGCTTTAATTGAGCCCATTTGTTGTGACAAGTCACAATCCATTAACATAATCATGTTAGTTGCGGGTAAAAAATGAATATGACAGGCCTACATATAAAAAGTTGGGTGTAGTTAATTAATTAGTGAGGTAAATCTTCCCTAGCACTTGTGGCACGATTCGAATTTCAAGACATGATAGTTAATTAACGCGACCCTTCTGTTCCCCCATCGATAGAAAGGTAAACCCCTTCCTATTCTTTCCCAATTTGATTCTTCCAATTGAATCCTTCTAATTCTAACACAAGAAGCAAGTATGTACACATACATAACTGCATGCCCTTGCCCCCACACCACACCCAGTTAAAGCAAAAGCAAAAGCAAATTTATTTATTCATTAGCCTTCGCTGCCAGATCAGGGAAAATCAGGTACGCATTGTTTTAACCACAACACACTTAAATGTGCTAGATACCCTTCATGATGCATGATGAATGATGCCAGACTTGTGGGTATGTGGACCATAATAGGACTTCCCAACCAGGAATTTCGCCCTGATACAGGTTAGTGTTAGTCACTCCCTACTTCTCCAAACACATTGCCTTTTCCTTTCTATTTTTTTTCTTCTCTATCATCAACATACCTCATCATTTTCAACTATCTGTATACTAAAGTCGTGATTATGCTCCCTTAAACACACAAAATTCTTTTAGGATTCTATTTAGAATCGATTGATTTGAGAATTTTTTTTCTTTCTAAATGGATGTCTAGAATAACTATAAATAGTCCAGAACATTTAAAGATTGTAACTTATCTCCCAGAAGTTATATATCAGTGTTTTTGTTTAGTTATATTAAAATTCTAAATTCTTTATAAGTTTCTTTCAAAAATGTAGTTTTAGAATTTAAAGGAATATATATCTCGAGCCTCAGGTATATAAGTAGAAAAAAGTTTATGTAAGTGACGAACTCAATTTGTGTTGATCGTCTTTGAATTCGAATAGTATAGTTTTAATTATATAATTATCTTTAAACTATTTGGTATATAATTAAAAAAGAAGAGTTGGTTAATTACGCATTATTGTATTGGCAGGATTGAAATGGGTGGTACGTGGTGGTGAGGATGCAAAGAGGGAGCATATAGTTAGAAGGAAGAAGAAAATAAGAGGCATTGATTCTGTGTTTTCTAGGCAAGTTTAGGCAATGGTTTTGTGTGTGTGAAAGGAGTGGAATGTGTAGGCATGGTGACAAATAAGAAATGCTAAAAGTAGCAGTGCTAGAGCTACACTAGACCTTGGACAAATAGTTCCAGCACCTAAACTTGGACCACCTTGAAAATCACACATTTAAAAGCAACCTACTTTTTTTGTTGGTGAAAATAAAACAAAAAGGTTCATTCTCTTTTGGGGCAGGGCGAGGCGAGGTGAGGTGTGAGTGTGAGTGTGAGGAGCAAAGGAATCAACTTCGTTGCTGAAGCCATGCCCTCACAAGTCACAAACAAAAAGGATACGACAGAATCAAATCAAATTCAAATTACTGCACGAGCTAATTTTTCAATTTTCAACTTCACACCTACACTCCACTATAACCATTTCATTCATTAAATATTACTAATGCCTTTTTCAATACACTTCTTCTAAACTACTACTGTTACCTTTCTTCCACTATAATATTCTCTTCTCCTATTTATTATATTATTTTCTTTAGATCTTATTCCTATAATTTTTAATAAATTTTAATTTTTCCTCAAAATAACTTCCAGTATTCACTGTAACTTTTTTCTTCTTCTAATATATGTATTTTTAATTAATAAAATGAGGTAAATGACGCATTGACTTCTTCAATATTTTTTTATAAAAAAATTTAGTTATATAAAATGAATATTTATGGTGATTGCATTAAGATACCAGTACTAGTTAAGTTTAATTATGAAAAGATAAAATTTGTTCATTTTCCATAGTGAGTAGTAGCTAAACAGACACATTTTCAATTTGCAATTAAAGCCCAAATTCTGTATACAGATTACGTGGTTCCGTAGTGGTAAAACCCAATAAAGTTTACTTGTCTGACACTTTGTTTAGCTTTTGGGCTGAATTGGGCTTCATCTGCTGGGCCCTTATGTTCTTTATTCTGTTGACCCTTAAAAAAAATACTACGTTCAACGTGACTCACCGATGATTCACATCGACGCGCTCTTGAAAGCTTGAACTGAGATACGAATTTTCGGTTTTCTGGGGGATTCAGCGCGAGTGGGTGTTTGTTATTGTCGTTAAGCTTGTGCTTTCTTTGTTTTTTATTTGCGACGCCGAAAATGGAAAGTGAACGTTCCGATGATGTCGTGGAACAGGTTGCGGTTGGGAATGGACGGTGACGGCGAGGAGTTGACGGCGCAGGAGACCGCTCTTTACGACCGTCAAATTAGGGTTTGGGGAGCTGATGCTCAAAGAAGGTTTTTATTCTGAATTGTTTTATGCATCATTTGCTTTTGTTACTTTACTCTTGTAACCTAATCCAATTCTGCTATTCTTTGTTCTTCGTTGTGTCTAATTTAATTGTAGTTTAAAGAACCACGATACGTAGCATTTTAATTATATGTATACTTTTTTGTGATTCTATTTTTTGTTTATTTAGATTAAGCAAAGCTCATGTCCTTGTCTATGGAATGAAAGGAACTGTAGCTGAGGTAAACTTTGAACTTGTCTCTCTGTTTTTTCAAATTTGATTTTGACACACACAAAAAAAAAAAGAAAAAAAAGAGAGATTAAAATGGGTTTTGTTTGGCTATTGGTTGTTTTTCGTTGCACTTTTGTTTCTCATGTTGTTGTTATAATGTGTAAGGAGTTTGAGTTTCCTGTTGTTGGTTAGTTTTGCAAGAACATTGTTCTGGCTGGAGTAGGTAGTCTGACTTTAGTAGATGATCGGATTGCTACCGAGGAAGCATTTTCCTCAAACTTTCTCATCCCTCCTGATGAGAATGTGTATAGTGGAAAGACTCTTGCTGAGCTTTGCTGTAATTCACTTAAAGACTTCAATCCTATGGTTCGAGTTTCGGTTGAGAAAGGTTTGTTTTGAGCCTGTTCCATATCAATGGTTTCTGCTTCTGCATTGATTTCATCTGGTTTTTGACATTTTGTTGTGGTTTTCCTTTTCTGTTTTTCATCTTGGCTTCAGGTGATTTATCTAGTTTTGATGTAGAATTCTTCAGCAAGTTTGATGTTGTTGTCGTCAGTTGTTGCTCACTTTCTGCCAAAGTAATGTGGAATATTCTTTATCTGATACATGGATACTCTGAGGCTTTACATCGCCACTTTGTTATAAATTACTTTACCCCTTTCTGGATACTGTAGATTGTCCTTTAACATTCTTGTTTACCGTTTTTCTTTTGCTGTAGAAACTGGCTAATGACAAATGCCGAAAGCTATCAAAACGTGTAGCATTTTATGCTGTTGACTGTAGGGATTCTTGTGGTGAAATTTTTGTTGATTTGCAGGACTATAAATATTCGAAGGTATCACTTTTTGGACTAATTTCTCAAAGTTAATTATTGGCTTTTATGACATGATATTATCTTCTTCTTTTTCGTGTTAGTTTGTGTGCTTTTACATGAAGGTTTGCAAAAAACTATAAATTTCTATTCTATGTAAGATGATAATGGATACAAAATATATTATAGTCTTCATATTTTGTAGGATTTTTTTTTCCCTTGCAATTAGTCATAAAAAACCACAAGGGCCAAATTTGAGTTTAATATCATGAAAATGAAAAACCTTGTAATTGTGTAAAATGGGATGAATGAAATACCTATATAGGCCTAATTGCCTATGATTGTATGTTGAGTTGTTGACCAATATTACACTTCATTAATATTTTTCTGAAATTTAATCTTTGTTTGTTACAACTAACAAATTGTTTGTGTGATTGGAAGTTGCAAATGATAAGCATAAGAGGATCTTGTGCTGCTACAAGAATCACTAATTTCTTTTTAATGTTCTATTCTTATTTGGCAGAAAAAACTGGATGAAACTATTGAATGTGACCTGAAATATCCTTCTTTTGAGGTATGTCAGTCTAAAATCATTATATTTTGCATTGTTTTCTTGCATTTCTTCATCTTAAGTTAAAAAAAAATACTTTATCTGTTTGGTTGGGTGAATGGAAAACAAGAAAAGAGAATTTTGAAATTTGAGTCGAAGGAAGGGAAATTTAATTTTATGTTTCTAAAAGTCATATTTTCTCTTCCTTTTCCTTTTTGTTTCTCTCCAACAAAATAAAAGACAACACACTGTTATCCGTTATCCATATTTTCTTTTTTCTTTATTTTCATTTCACCCAACCAAATATATCGTTTCTCTAAGTAGTATTTACAATCTAGCAATAGTGTGTTGATGTGTTGCAATCCTCAAGGTCTTCAATGTGTTCCAAATGATTTATTTTATGATTGGCAAAAGGAAAAATTATCTGATAAAATGACAGACTGGTTTTGACCTGAAGGATATTTGATGTAAATGATAACCTTAATAGTTGGCCCAGGCGCCCAGCTCCCTAGCCATTAATTTGCATTAGATACCCATGGGGTAACTTCCAATGCATACTGGTAAATTCAGTGATTCTAAAATAATAATCTAGAAGCCAGAAATGCCCTTGTTTTTGTTATATAGTTGGTTTGGCGTGCCATGTTAAATGTATGCTTTCCTTGCTGGATACAAATTTGTGACTTGTGTTGGTTTTGTAAAAGGAAATTTGGCCTTTACCAAGCTCAAATGGTAGATGTGGGGTTAGGGTTATCGTGCACGTTATTCAGCCTAGGCTGTCAGGACCGGCCCAATGGTTAGGTCAACAAAATCCTCACTTTAGGCTTCCTTTAAAAAATTAATTTATATTAATATTAATATAATTTTTTCAAAGTTATATAACTTAAAAGTCACATTTTGCATTTTTAAAAATTCATTTTAAAAGGTCTATTTCTAAAAGATATTAGAATATAATTATTTTTTACAAGGCTCATCTCTAAAATATTTTTTTTTTATATTTTTATTAAAAGATGTTATTATAAATTTTAAAAAAACCTTCCTTTATGATTTGCTTTAAGCTTAATAATATGTTGGGCTGACCCTGCAGGTTGTCTATGTCTATGTCATGTATAGTCCTGTGTGGCTATTCTTGTTATTCTTCTTTAACATAAATCATTTGTAGTTGAGAGCTTCATTTTCACGAGTATGCTCATTTATTTTCTGCTGCAGGATGCATTATCAGTACCTTGGAAGGAACTTCACAGGAGAATGTCAAAACTGTACTTTGCTATGAGAGGTCTGGTGAACTTTAGTGTTTTGTTTTGTGATTATAATACCCGGAATAAAAATAAATAATTCTAATCACTTGGAATATAAAACTTCTAGTTGAGGATGTCTGTCTTATTGATCGATTCCTTAGACTGTTAATAGAGACGAGAAAGACAGATAGGTGAAGAGAAAGCTTACATATTTAATCCTGTTAGTTGTCTCTCTTCCGCTTTGCATTTTATGATAGTTCTGGTGTGGTCTATAGACAAAGTGGCTGTCAGTAACATTGAATTGTATGTTGCAGTAATAGAGAAGTTTGAAGAGGCTGAAGGACGAAATGCAGGGGAAGTTTCAATTGCAGATCTCTCCGGTGTTCTCAAGTTGAAAAAGGAGCTTTGTACTGCACAAGTATGCTTGCTGGAATTGTTATTTTTGTTTTATATATGTTTTACGAGTTAAATTCATTAGTTCTTGCATCTTTATGTTTGTGTTGACAGTCTCTCAATGAATCTCGTGTGCCTGATGCTCTTCTAGAAAGACTGTTGACAAATGCAACAGAATTTCCTCCTGTTTGTGCTGTTATAGGGGGAATCCTTGGACAGGTATTTAACTACTTTTCACTGTTTTTTAAAGATGTCTTGTGATTTTTAACCGACTAGGTTGACTGTTGTAACATCACAGGAGGTTATTAAAGCAATTTCTGCGAAAGGAGACCCCCTAAAGAATTTTTTCTTCTTTGATGCTTTTGATGGGAAGGGCATTATAGAAGACATTTCTGCGAAGTGATTAATGGCTGAGGTTTCGGCAATCTAATTCTAAATTAGGGATGGATGTAACTTTTGTCAAAACAGCACAGAAAACTAGTAAATTTCAAAAGATCTCTATAAGAAGAAACTGACCCTTTTTATTAATTGCTCATATAGTTTCTTAGTTGGTAATTTATCTAGACTTGTGACTGTTTAGGGTTAGGATCTTCTCGTTTTGTAGACACTAAACACTTAAGTGTATGTAGGCTTTGGGCCGTTAATTATTTTTCATCACTAAGCATACTCTGAAGTTTTGAAGCCTAATTTAACTTGTTTGTGTGGTACTAATTTAACTTATTTAATGATACATTTTATTACAATTGATGACATTTTTGGTAGGACTTGGCGCCGAGAAAAAAAAAATAAAGAATAGTACTGATATTTGCTAATTTACATAAAACTCGCCGTATTCCGTCATTTGATAATGAATGGTCTATTATAATATTTTGGAACTCGGGTTGCGGTTGGTCATTGGTCTTATGGATCTAATTTGACCTTGTCGTCGGTAGAAAAAAAAAAATCTTTTTTTAAGACTTGCTTTTCTACTATACAAGATTTATATATGATTTATTAAACTTAAAATATTACTAGTTCGATTTGTAGAAAACTAACAATCTATGCTAGAATTTTGGATACCCGAAAATAACTATCTATTGTTCATAATTTGTGTGTTTTTAGATAAATAATGACTTGATTTAACATAATCACTTACACAAGCGTGTATGTTAGAATAGAAACTTCCCTGTAATCTCTTTTGTTAAACAGATTGACTGTTGGATGGAGTACTACAATTAACTGAAGATAATGTCCATCTATTGTGAATATTAAACTTTATGAGGCCTTACACACAAAATTAGCACACATTCTATTGAACTTTGACCCTATAATTACATAGACATACATGACTTTTGATATTTATATCTCCCTAAATAATAAGTAATTAAATTAGAAAGGTATTTAAGGAAAGATAATTAAAAAAAGAAAATGGGGTATATTTATAAATTACGGGAAGTGTAGTTATCTATGTACATATACTTAGTGATTCCCCAAATCTTAAATTGGATCAAATTACTAAAATGAGCTCAAAGGAAAACAAATATTTTAAGTCATACATCCAATCTATATTTTAATAAAATCAAAATACCAAAGTTAAGACACTTTACTAGTTAAATTATGTACATCTTAGTGTATTTTAGAACATTTTTTTTATTTGAGGGCCTTTTATATTATCTTAAAGAAAAATTATGTTTTATTTATAAAAATTATATTATTAACTTTTTTCATTTTCATTCTATAACTTTCTCCAAATACTGCTATGTGCATTAGAAGCCTAAATAAACAAAATGTTAACACGGTTCATATTTCTTTGAAAAGATAATGTCTTGTTATTTTTAGTAAGTTTTTTTTTTACTTACTAACCTATACAACTAAAAAAAATATTCTTTAAAAAAATAATGTTCTTTTTTATAATTGTAGAAATATAGAAACATTTTTTATTTTACATAAAATTAAAAAAAGAGACTGTTTTTATATTTTCTTATTTTTTCAGTTTTTTTAATAAACAGGTTAAATAGTAATTAAAGTTTTAACACACGAGAAAATATTTTTTTTCTTTAATGATATTTTTTCAGAATATATATATAT